TATGGGTTTTTTTATAAAAATTAATAGATAACTTTATAATATAAAGTGAGCCTTCAGATATTAACTTTTCACTTTATTGGTTTTATGGTAAGACTCAAAACAAATTACCTATCTTGAATATAATAAATAATGAAGTTTTAATTAATAATGTGCTTATAAATACACAATAACTTACTTTGTTTTAAACATGAAGTAATAAAATGAATAYAGATACACGTAAAATGCAGTTGACGCTGCTGCTGCAAAACTTGTCCATTGCCTGTAAYGATAATAAACAATTTGTAACAGTGTTCAAAATAATTATTGGTAATACAAACGTACCATCTATAATCTTCAGCATTAAGTAGAAAATAAGTACATACAATTGTGACACAAACAGTTACYACCATAAGTATCAAAACGACTAACAGCATAAATCCATAAACATAGTATATTTTGTATGCCCAAAATGAAGTAAAAATAAAATACCTAAAATTAGGTAATCAAAATGAAGTTTAATATCATATTACTAAATATGAATATTATTATTATTATTTATATTTATATTAACATACATTTCAATAAAAATTGATCCAAAAGGCAGTATTCCACCAAGCATTGTGATTATTAAAGGTTCCATGAACCATTTTTTCTCTGGTATAGGTCTTGGTACAGCATTGACTCTACATGGATAGTCTGGTTGCCCAGATAAATTTCGACCCAGCAAAGTTCCAACCAATGTAAGAGGTAAAATCACAAAAACGCATATACAAGCTACTGCAACCTAAAAATCATTGTTATTAGAAAAATAATTCAAATACGTCAAAATCATTATTTACCATTGAACCAAATGGAATAGCACGAGATGCATGATAATAGATTGCAATAAAATTAATAAGAAATGCCATGCCACAAACAAGTGAAGGTAGTAAAAATGCAGATAACAACATCTGTCTGATCCAAATACGTCCACCCATCTTAGCATATAAGGCTCCTCCAAAATAACCATTAACAGGGGAGGTTACAGCATAYACAAATATTGATGTCCCCAATAATGATCCTCGTCTAATCAACAAAAATCAATAATTTAAAAATTTAAAACAAAATGTTTAAAAGAATGTAATGTTTTTACTCTGTATATAAATCTCCAATTATTGTAAATGTTATAACTACGAGAGTGACTAGAGTGATGTGGTGACCACATCCAATAATGGCAGAGAAAAGCATAGGATAAGATGCTGGACGAAAAACATCACCATGAACTTGCTTCCATCCATATTCGTCACCCAAATCTTTGTCCTATTATTTAAAATGTTAAAATATGTAAGTTAAATTAAAAATAGATTATCAAATACCATAGCATCAACTTCTTCGTCTTGACTGTAACGAGCATAATCTTTACGCACAGTTCGCAATAAAATCATTGATACTAATCCAACCAAAAATATAACCATCATAAAACTGTTAAAAATACTAAACCAATGAATCTGAAATAAAATATGRGAACAATTACATCTACAACAAATAATTTGTATATAAATATTATTATTATTATTGACTTACTCTGTGTTGGAAGAATTTAGGATCCAAATATTTATTGAAACGATCTTTATACAAGATAGGAGACGATTTCCAATTCATTTCATATGTAAATTCAATATTAGTATTTGCTTTAAGTTCGACCTTAGTCTCTGATGTCAAATTTACATCAACAATATGTTGATCATTAAAACCAATATCAAATTTTTTGTGTGTCCAAATATAATATTTGTTATTAGTTTCATCTACTTCTCCGACAATGCCTAAGTTCCAAACCCRATAATTTAAAATAATTTAAATAACAGTAAAAGTTTGTATAAATATAATTTACCCCAAATTGGAAGATCGTCAATATACATTTGATACCAATAATGATTTCTTACGGCATATATAAATGCTTTTAATTTATCGTCATCCAAGTTTACTTGACAGAATGGAACTTTAAATATGTCCTCTAAATTAAATGATCAATTTGAATAAATTATTTAGGAACTATTGGATTTAAAAATTATCAAAACCTTTAAAAYGCATTTCCAGTCCACTGTGAATAAGCTCAACACCCTGTAGAGCTTCACCAAGTGTTTCATGATAATGACTAATTGAATCTTTAGGGCCCGCACAAAATGGCAAACTAAAGTAAGTATATGTTTCTTGTCGATTATGATATGGACCGACAGTATTCATCCACAATACCACTTCCTCATTA